ACTGAACATCTGACTGAACACCTGACCAACACCTGACCAACTCCTGACCAACACCTGACTGAACATCTGACTGAACACCTGACCAACACCTGACCAACTCCTGACCAACACCTGACTGAACATCTGACTGAACACCTGACCAACACCTGACCATCACCTGATCAACACCTGATCAACACCTGACTGAACACCTGACATCACCTGACCAACACCTGACCATCACCTGACAAACCTGACCAACACCTGACCATCACCTGACTGAACACATGACCATCGCCTGGCCATCACCTGACAATCACCTGACTGAACACCTGACCAACACCTGACTGAACACATGACCATCGCCTGACCATCACCTGACAATCACCTGACTGAACACCTGACCAACATCTGACTGAACACCTGACCAATACCTGACTGAACACATGACCAACACCTGACCAAAACCTGACCAACACCTGACTGAACACCTGACCATCAACTGACTGAACACCTGACAATCACCTGACTGAACACCTGACCAACACATGACATAACACCTGACCATCGCCTGACCATCACCTGAAGGCTTACCGTGTGATTGGTTGAAAACATTCTGCTCTTTCCTTCAGTCTTACTCTTCTGCCACAGATTTACACARATAAATCTGGACGGTTCGGTTCGCTGCTCAGTTCTGACAAGCTGCTGTCAGGATTCTGGAGGAGCAGAAAGATTTGGGTCGACAGACCGACCCGCTGAAGCAAACAGAGGTTCTGTCTTTAATCAGGAACTAGAACATCTTCTGCTCTGAAGTTTCACTTGTCACAGGAAGAACATTTGGTCTGAATCCAGTTTCATTGTAATATTTTTATTTTTCTCATTTGGACCATCAGTGATCAGATGAGTCCGACTCAAATCACCACCAGAACCTGCTGTAATAAAGCCCATCAGCTCAGGTGAACCCACTTGTTTCTTCTGSTGCTAGCAGAACCTCTAATGACTCTGACCTCTTCTCTGGTTGACTTCCTGCCTAACGAGGTCACAGGTCACCTGGGTCCGATCCGGTCCAGCATGTGGTTCTTCAGAATCAGGCTGAAAGTGATGGAGGGAGACAGACGGAGACAGAGATCTGAGGAGACAGATGAGGGGACAGGAATAGCAGACGTGCAGCCAAGACGTTGACCGACTCTGACAGCAAAGTGACACAAAGTTGGGTCGGCCCGTTTRCAGCATCAATAATTCTCACACAGAACCAGGAGCTTAGTGATGTTAAACATTAAAGAAGATTATTAAAATATTTCCTGGGACTTGTGCCAGGTTTCACACACGTCCTGCAGAGGGACTGGCTTCCTGTCCTGCTGCAGARCTGTCTCAGGCTGTTAGGGTCCGGAGCCGAGGATCGGTTCTGACAGAGGCTCCATTTAACCATGATTCATCTCAGCATGTCCTGTGTGTTTACAACAGTTCAAACAAACTCAAACGCTTCAGAGGAACAGCAAGTTTGTATCATTCCAGGGTTTCAGAACTGTTGATTTAAAGTAATAATAATAATAATAATAATAATAATGCATTAGTTTTATATAGCGCTTTTCGAGACCCTCAAAGACGCTTTACAATTTTCATG